ATTGTACTTAGGGTTGGGAATCGAATACTTGAGGTCAGGAATCCGATACTTGTTATAAAATAAAAATGTAGATTCAGTGTGAGTTTCAAACATTCAAGCGAGAGACTCACACGTGTTTATCAGTATACTGGATCAGTGCAGCTCTTAAAGTGACAGAAGCCTTATATTCCTGCCGTCTATAATAACACTGATCAACAGAGAATCTCGACTGAATAACTTTTGTTACTATATTTGTAATACATTTCATTAATAAACTGCTGTTATTTTACATTTGATTAGTTTCTGTTCCTGAAAATCCTAAATCGCGGTTTATTTCAATCGTATCTTTGTTCAGTTGCGTCTATTTACTGCGATTTCTAATGTTTTATTTGTTTGTTTTTAATTCCTGAGTGTTTATTGTCTTTAATAACGCGAATAATAATAAATATTTATTAATATTAGCAATTAACTATTTTTTTATTTTTAGTAATTAGTTTGTCATTTTGTTGAGTATTTTTGTAATAAAAAATTAGATATATTTCAGTTTAATTTTAGTAGTTCAAATAAATGAATGATGAACTTTGTCTAGCTGAAATATAGTTTTTTTTTTAAAAATTATTTCAAGAAATGAAAATTTTTTGTTATGGTTTTGGTTTTAGTTAACAATAACAAACCTGCATAACACAAAAAAACATCCAGACTGTTTGGCTTTTTAAACAACCAAAGTTACAATAAATAAGAGTTACGAATAAAGGCATTAAAGACACACGTTTCTTGAGTCCCAGCCAATGGCAGGCCTTAACCTTCATCTTCCACATCAGTTGGTCCAATGGGAGGCGCTCAAATTTCCCAAGACGCAGGAAGTTCTTCACATTAGACAGGAAGTGAAGCCGATTTTCCTGGGTTCCCCAAAGTTCCTCCGGAACAACGTAAAGCAAACATTCCCTCACGAACAGATACACTCTGTACGGGGAGAAATGCGATTTGAGCAACGACTCCATATCTTGCGCGTCTCGAGTTTCTGAGCACTTCCTGTTCAGGAACAAGCCGTACGGGCACTTCCTGTGCTGGCGTAAGAGTCGGCTAAACAGGGGAACCATCGCGAAGAAACGCTTCGGAAGTTTCTTCGGTTTACCCTGCGTGTTAATCTCTGATTGGAGGAAAATCATCCGAACGAGATCCGCCCCTTGCAGACGTCTAGCCCCGCCCTCATCTTTCAGTTTCCTGTTGAGCAGGAAGCTCTTCATGCCCCGCCCATTATAAAGCATGCTTAGGACGCGTATCGCGCAGTGTGACGGTCGGGGAGGGCGTTGCTCCGCGGGCTTCCAGCTCCGAGATCCGTGATTTTGCGGTCGGCGGCCCGTCGGATTCATCCGTAATCACTTTTCGCTTCTTCATAACAGGATGTTTATCGTGCTTCTCGTCATCTCTTGCTCTCTTTTTCGAGACTGTTAACATCTTAGCATCTGTTGTGACCGTATTAGCATCTGTTACGCTCGTCTTAGCATCTCTTGCGATTGTCTTAGCACCTCTTGCGATCATCTTAACATCTCTTTTGCTCATCTTAATGTGTCTTGCGAACGTCTTAGCATCTCTTGTGAACGTCTTAGCGTCTCTTGCGCTTATCTTCGCATCTCTTGTTCTCGTGGTAGCGTCTCTTGTGATCGTTTTCCATGGGATACCCGAATTTTTCTGTGTTTGAGCCGAGACGTGGCTGAGGGAAAACCCGGACCATGCGCTCGGGATCAGCCGGTCGTACACGGGCTCTCCGCACACCTGAAGCAAACACGTGGGCGGGACGGTAGCGAACACGGCGCAGTCCTGTAGCAGGTGTCGCGTGACCTCGGTTCCCAGACGCTGGTTGATCCGCTTCCACAGCTCGCTAGTGCTGATGTACGCCGCCGTCTGCGAAACGTCTCCGTGAAACCGGAACGGATCCGAACAGGCCGACACGTCATTGCACTGATAGCCGAATCCCAGGACGTTCCTCAGCTTCTTCCGTTTAATGTGGTTTAGGGTGAACGCCAGAACCTCCGGAAGCGTGCTGAGCTGAAACAAGACATATAATTCACACCACAGACTGAACAACATGAAGCATTGCTTGGTCACTGGTTGAGCTAAACTGGTATTATCTAAATTTAACAGCTGACAGATATTCAACATAATTCATGTGTGAGAGTCCAACAGAAAGACAGCGAAAACCAGTCAAATATCCACTGATCTGAGAACTGAGTTCTGCTCATGTTTATCACCATTAGCTAAACTATAGCTAATAACTGATCATGTGAGAAATACATATTGATTTGACTGTATAAATATGGAATTTTGTCCTTTATTAACCCACTGAAGCCTTATGGATTACTTTTATGATGGATGGATCCGCTTATTTGTGCTTCAACATTAAAGGTACCATTCCCTCCCATTATAAAGCCTGAAAGAGCCAGGATACTGGTTTTGCTACACTAACCATAGTATAATCATGGTATTTGTAGTGAAACTATGGTTATAAACAAAGTTATCAATCTCCAATTATAGACAACCTCCAAAAAACATGATTACTTACTACATTTTTACTATTATAAAACCATGGTTCAACTTCGTAAGGAACCGTCATGTAATCGAGCCAATAAAGCCTTTAATACACGAGTTTCTAATGCTTTAAATGATCAATACTTTGCTAAAACCCCTGTTTGTGTTGATGTGTAAACTGTCAGAAAGTGTTGAGTGTGACTGAGGTACCTGTGCGGGCACGCGCTGCTGCTGCGGTGGCGTGAACGCGCATATCATCAGTCCTCTGACTAGATTTTTAAAACGCGCTCCGTCTCTTTCCTCCAGAAGAGCCGGCTTCCGTCCATCAGAAAACACAAGCCCATCTGCGAACTCCTCCAGAGTCTGCACGACTGGGTACAACGAGCGCAAAATGCCAAATACATATTTGAAACCGCCATCTGTCGCGTCCCGTCGAGACATGAGTGTGTGTGTGTGTGTGTTTGGGTTTCCCGCTTCCGGCGTTTTGGGCGTCGCGCGCTGCACCGATCTCCACCAATCACTGTCCACCAATCTGTCACATGACCCTGATACGCAAATTAAAGATGCGTATCTTTTTTTCTACTTCGAAATAACTAGAATTTAAATAATGAACAAGTACATAACAAAACAAACCGTGTTTTGACCTATTTTTTATGGTTTTGACTTACCCTAAAAATACGTTTGATTTTTGAGCTGTCGGTGCGGATTTCCCGGGAAACTGCATATTTCCACCTTTCTTCTGTGCTAAAAGTCATATGCGTGTATTTATATGTGCTAATTAATTGTAATTAAATTACTTTATTAGCATGTTAAATCAGTAAATAGCAAGCAGATTATCAAAACAATAACTAAATCATAACTTTACAACCACATTATCAAAATAAATGAGAACAATAATAAATAAAACCGTATTCAACAAATATTTGTAACATTTTATGATTGTATTTAATAATTTCACGAACTGAATATACTGTGTATATATTAAATACATTTTAGCTAATTTTTAATTACATTTTTTGTTTATTATTATGCATTTTAGGCTTATTTTGAAAACAAAGCACTTGCTTTTTGCAAAACTTCATGGGTTTTGGACATGGTACTGGCATAATTTTGCAAAAGCACCACCGTATTCTTTAAACTATCATGTAAATATGTTTGTATATAAATAAGAGAATCATTCAGTACCATGGTTTTGATACCACCGATGTACTACGGCACAGCAACAAGGGATTGTACGCAGCAAATGCTCTTCGAATGCACTTTTTCATTGTCACATAGATGAATTGTATTTGTTAATATTACTCAATATGCACTATCATTGAGATTTACCATCATGGTACCAAGCATTTTTACCCACAATGCAATTTCAGTAGTTGAACTAAAACACAAAAAATCTTATCTTGCTCCATAAACATGTTTATTAATATAGCATTAAAAAGATGACGAGAGGCCAGAGTCAGTGTTAGACCATGAGGAGGTCAGCAGGAGGAGGTTTGAGAGGGATCTGACCCAGAGTAAAGCGTTTGCTTGTGAACTCCTTCAGCTCTTCGGCTGTCAGGTCACTCTGGGCCGTGAACAGACTGTCTCGTGAACTCCCAGCAGAATCTGCAGCTCCACTAAACACACCGCTGCTCTGACCGAAGCCGCTGCTCGCGACCGGCGCCGAGGTCCCGAACCCGGAGCCCGATCCTCCCGCGGACGTCTTGAAACTGAACCCGGCTGCTGAGCTGGGCTTATTTTCTGCAGCTTGTGGCGCAAAAGAAAAGGTGTTCACAGACGGAGCGGGACTGCCGAAACCCGGTGCCGTCTGAGCAGTGCTGAACACAGCGGCTCCAAACCCAGGTGCATTCTGGGTAGTATGTGAAGCTCCGAAGTCAGTTTTGGACGGGGCAAAGCTGAAGCTGCTGCTGCTCTGAGAGCTGGAACCGAACCCTGAGAAAACAATATAGCGGTTTACCAACACATATCGGATAAACAAAACATGTATTTCCTATTTTCAAAGAGTTGATAGGTTTTTATTAAAATTTACCGGCATATCAGCTCCAAACAATACAAAACATTTGATTCAATTTTAACTAGTGCTGAGCAATGATTAATCGCATCCAAAGAAAAGTCTGTGTTTACATAATATAAGTGTGTGTACTGTGTATAATTATTTTGTGTATATATATATATAAAACACACACATATGTATAAATTTAAGAAAAAACGTGTTATTTAACCCTTGTGCTGCATTAGATTTTTAGCACCGTTGAGTGCATTAAGGACCAAAAATGGCCACATATTAAACATTGCCTAAAATATTATATATTATTATTATTTTCCACTTTTACCAAGTTAAATCTTTTAACCAGCATCAGTCCTCATCATAACTACCAAAAATGTATTCAATTTCAGGATTTTAACCCTTTAATTACCAGTTTTGTTTGCGAAACCATCGATTTGTATAAGAGGAAAAAACACAAAAATTCAACTAAATGCAAAGAGAAAACTTTAGATTTGGATGATCACAGTCCCACTTTGCAAAAAATCCCACTTTAGCGCGTTAGAGACCAAAAATGGCCACCTATTAAACATTGCCTATTGCCTAAAATAAGGTGCATTTCCACCCATAGGGAATAAATATGTAGTGACGTCATCTGGTGGAATACACTATATAATGCAAATATAATGCTTTTGCTTCAAAATGAAAGGATGTTTGTGCAAAAATCATGTTTCATGTATTACTGACAGCCTCAGATTTAAACAACGTTTTAATGGGCTTCAATGGGCCATTTTTGGTCTTTATGGTGCTGAGTGTTACTATTTGATCTACACAGTGTGTGTTATACAGATTTTGCAAAATGGGATCACATTTTTTACATGTATCCAAAAAGTCACAATTTTGCCAAATTTCATACCATTTGCATTAAAACAGCCAAAATGGTCAAAGAAATTAAACTGCAAAAGACCAAAAATGTCCCTAATGCAGCATAAGGGTTAACACTGTTATTTTCCTGTTTATTACTGTGAAGAAACCCAGAACAAACCTCCAGCTCCAAAGCCAGGTGTTGGCGCTGATGATGATGCGGTTCCAAACCCCTGCGGTGGCGTCTGGGAACTGGAGTTATTCAGCTCTGAGATCTGAGGGATTAAGGGATCGTTTAAAGACCCAATACAATTCAGCTCAGATCAATATTTTGTGTCTAATTATTTATTTATGTGGCAAGTAGCCGTGGTGTAATAAGCGGGCTAATATACATCAAGCCGGTTGTTATCTCAGAATAAACCCCTTCAGGCTGAGGAAGACCTGATCCTGATCCCATGTCGGGTTACTTGAACCCGTGAGAAACATCATCTTACCACACTCATCTGGGTGGAGCTGCTCATGGTCCGCAGCTCCTGAACTCTGCTACTCCATTGGTTGAACAGCAGTTGGACTGAGTTCACCTGAAACAGGATTACATGACATGCTCAGATTCAGCATCATGGGAAATGAAGTCTCTTGAATCTGCTCATTCATTAAAGTAGTAAAGTGGTTGTCTTACATAAGGCTGTACGTCACCAGACGCTTGGTAGGAGTAATACTCCTGTCTCAGCTCCTCTGGAGACAAGTCGACAAACCCTGCAAAATATCAAGATAGGATGAACAAGTATAAAGATAAAAACCTGCCGTTGTCGAACTGCAAAATAATGCAGCTTAGTTTGTTTGTCAGACATTTTCTCATTTGTCTGTAAAACCCAGCAGCTCATATTTGCTTGAAAAGACTGACAGACTGTGATGAGCGACAGACTGACCTGAGAACTGGCCTTTGAGGACCGAATAACATGAAAACGGCCACTGGCCAGAAGTCTGCCAGGCCTCCATGTCTGTCTGGATTGTTTCCCTGAAATTCAAATATGCAATAAAAACACAATGTGTATCAATTATACAGTGCATCCGGAAAATCATTCACAGCGCTTCACTTTTTCCACATTTTATGTTATAGCCTTATTCCAGAATGGAAGGTACAACAAATGGACGTACAAACCAGAGGCGCTGTTGCACACAGAAAGTATTCCCGTCGCTTGATAAACTTAAGGTTGAGCCGCTGTAGTCACTCGGACTATTTTAACAACGTCTTTAATAATTTTTCTGGACTGGCAAGTTTCAATCTCTTATGGAGGAGTGAGATAGTTCTCAGATTTAATCAAAAATATCTTAATTTGGCTCTGAACACTTACGTGTGATTTTTTCCGTTTTTTATTTGTAATAAATTTGCAAATATTTATAACAAACTTCTTTCACATTATCATTATGGGGTATTGCTTGTAGAATCTTTAGGAAAATAATGAATTTAATCCATATTGGAATAAGGCTGTAACAACAAAATGTGGAAAGAGTGAAGTGCTGAGCATACAAGCAGTCCCCCAAAAAATGCATAAGCATAAACTGCACTTACACATGTTTTGCATTGTCATCCGTTGAGTTTCGTCCAGCTTTATCAAAGTTGCTCTGAGAGTCAAGCGCTGAGAATCTGTTCTGGTTGCTGAAGCTGAAGTTGGAGCTCTTGATGTCTCTGGACGCCCCGCCGCCTCTGTTCCAGTCATTACCGCCTCCTCTGTTCGAATCATTACCACTGCCCCGGTTCCAGTCATTACCGCCGCCTCTGTTCGAATCATTACCACTGCCTCGGTTCCAGTCATTACCGCCACCTCTGCTCCAGTCATTACCGCCGCCTCTGCTCCAGTCATTACCGCCGCCTCTGTTCGAATCATTACCGCCACGGGAGAACGAGGAGGGCTGGATGAACTCGCCCCCAGTCCGTTGAGATGGGTTTATCCACACGCGGTTCCCATAGCCTGCAACAACACGTCACTTTGATCACTGCCATTAACATTCAAAAATTGTTAACAAAAATGGTATAAGTTATTACTGGGAGCTAAAATACACTATACTGCCAAAATTTATGGACGTTGCTTTGCGCACTGGTGTGCAGTCATGCTGGAACAGGAAAACATAAAATTATATGTTTGGTCACCACAATATTATTTTAGCAACATAACAAGACCGCGAATTAGCAGGCTTTGCACAGTGCGATTTGTGACAGTGCATGTAACGTGGCTAGAGTGTTGACACTGAGTCAATGGGCTCTGTCTAATTTTAATTTTTAATTTAATTTTCGTCATTGTTTGACGTCTTTGTTTTATGAGCAGGTGCCACTCAAGAAATTGGCAGTTTAGGTTGTTTCTCCGCCATTAGCACAGCTGTGGCACACCGGCAATCTTGAGTTTGGTTTGAATGACGGTGCGCTGTGCAAGAGAGGGGTGTGATCAGAGCGTACATGAGCGTGATTGACACTGCTAAGACACTCCTCCTGACAGTATAGTATTGCATAATAGTATTTACACAGAATTTCCCTTATAAAAACACTTTTTTAAAAAAAAAAAAAAGAGTACTTATTACAGGTTAAATTTGTAAGATATACTTAAATGTGAACTGAGTTTAATGTAAAGTGCAAGTAATTAGCAAATCTAATGAAAATGCAGGCCTATTTATTTTTAAATCCAGTTATTTGAACTTTGCGACTCGTCGTTATAACGATAACTACATCGTTATACGCAAATAATAAAGTTGATAATAATAATGTTTTATCAACAACACTACAGTTAAAATTATAATTTGTTGGTTAACACACTAAAATGAGTATTCGTTTACACTTAAAAACACGAAGTAATATCATTAAACTTTGCTTTAAAGTAAAACGTTTACTTTGACATGATTACAAAGTGTTCTTAAGTGTGTTAAGAAAAAGTTATGAAAGTACAATTAAGCTGCCTTTCATAATAATAATATTATATCATCTAAGACTTGAAGTACACATTCAAAGTGATAGCAGCATTATAATAGTGTTCAAAAACGATGTGATCTCGATGGTGATACAGTAGTTTTGAAAGCGACAGAGTCAGTGCCATGAGAGTGTGTTTATGTTGACCTCCTCTGCTGGGTTGTTGTTGCTGCTGGTTTCCTCGATTATCTCCTCCTCTTCCTCCTCTCGGATGCTCATTCCAGCATTTTTCTCCGTATCTACAGCGACCTTGAAGGAAGAAGCTGCACACTGGCATTTTTAAACTCTACAGACAGAAATCATGTGCTCTTGTGGTACAGTACACATAGACAGAACAGAGCTAGACGCTGCTCCTCCTCAAACCATAGACGCGCGACAGCGTGACGCAAGGCGCACATTTAAGACGCAAACAAACGGTTTCAAAATAAAAGTCTTGATGCGGCGCTTCAGACAGTGTTTAAAGACCCCCTTCAGTCAATCATTTCATCCGCTTTGTCCATATTTTTTACAGTCTATGATTTTATCCCTTGAAAGTCATCTTCTATCACCAAAATTACATATTTTAACGTTTTTTCTCTCGAAAAACTGCAGTTTTAAGGAGAAAATACTCAGCAATGGTGCTGACTTATAAATGTGTAGGCCCCTACATGGTTTGTCTTAAAGCTATTAAAAACACCACAAAGACAGATAAACGACATTAAAAGTTGGATTTTCACCACAGGGGGACTTTAAAACTTTTTTTCTACATGAAATAAGGATCTAAACAAGGCTTTGATCAGTATTGAAGTGGATTAATTAAATTTGTGGGAAGGGACTGTTTTTTTATGTAGTTAGAAACTTTAAAGGTAGTATTACTAATACTACTAATAATAATCATCATAATAAATACCTTTCTGTGAATAACTCAATTGTTCACTAAAATGCTTGGAATGATAGCAATGATAGCAGAACTGGGGACCGGTTTTGTTTTTAGTGACTACTAAATGTAAAGAAAAAATGAACCAAACATAAAACAAATTTTTTTTCTTCTTCTGATTTTAACTTTTTATACCTTTATTTAAAAGGTGTTGAGCATGATATAAAAAACCCCAAACATTTAATCTTTAAAAAAATTGTAAACATTATTTCTAAATGTAGCACATTATTGCTGTAGAAGATAATGTGTGTTATTTCAATGTTATTTTTAAAGTTATAGTGTGATTGAGATTATATACTATTAAAATATTATATACTATATAAAATAAGCAAACACTAATAGATTTATTATACAGTATTGGAGTTATATGAATTTCTAGCCTAAATAAAATTTAAATCGAGTTTTTATTAATTATAAATTACTCATTGTATGAATTGCACAGTTTTTGAAACAAGCTAAAGCTATGTAAATGTTCTCTCTGGCATTTTGGTACCCAGTTTATGGTTATTTGCAGAACTTCAGCCATAAACATTATTTACAACGCAGTTCAGGGTTAATAAAGGTGTGCCAACAGCGACGCTGGTGACATCATATAAGCAGACATCGGTTCAGGAGGAATCCACCAATCAGACATCAGTTCATGCGGCATCCGCCAATCAGAGTGCGAGGTGGCGCACGCGGAGCATGGAGTTACTTGATAGACACGCCAAATTGACCAATGAGCGGCCTGTTCACATCAGGCGGGGGCGGAACCTTGTGAACGGAGACGGGGTAGGTATTAAAGTTTATCGGGATGTCAGTCAGTGAGATGCCAGTGGAGCTCAGTCGTCTATCAGTATCTCACGCTCTTCACCTTTGGGAAACTTCTTTTGATACAGTTCATTAAAACAGCCAGTAAGATGACGATCCTTGAGGCGAGCAGTGTGCTGATCGAGAAGACCGTAGAGAGGATGAGTGTGACGTCACTGCTGCTGGCGGCATCGGTGTTCACGCTGTCTGTGGCGTACCTGAGGAAACTCCTGTGCAGACAGCAGCTCGCGGGACACGGAGTGAGTGCTGATGATGATGATTATAATACAGTTATGCAGTGTTATGCCTTCAGCTTCTCTGTGTGGTGCAGTGATGTGTCCATAAGAGTGCTGTCTATTGTGTTATCTATAAAGTGAATAAAAGCACATGTCATATTGAGCTTTATATTCATTTACTTATCTATCCATCATTCTGAACATCTATCAACTGTTCTACCTATTTGTCTAATGCTCCATCGTTCTGTTCTATTCATTTCATTCATCTATCCATCGTTCCTTCTATCTATCTATCTATCTATCTATCTATCTATCTATCTATCTATCTATCTATCTATCTATCTATCGTTCCTTACATCATTTCATCTATCCATCGTTCCTCCTATCATTCTATCTATCCTTCCAGCATTCTATCTCCATCAATCTATATACCTATCCTTTCATCATTCTATCCATTGTTTCTCCCATCATTCTATCTATTCATCGTTCCTCCTATCATTCTATCTATCCTTCCAGCATTCTATCTATCCATTATCCATCAATCTATATACCTATCCTTTCAACATTCTATCTATCCTTTCATCGTTCCTCCTATCATTCTATCTATCTTTCTATCATCCATCAATCTATATATCTATCCTTTCATCATTCTATCTATCCATTTTTCCTCCCATAATTTAACCCATCGTTCCTCCCATCATTCTATCTATCCTTCCAGCATTCTATCTATCTATCCTTTCATCATTCTATCTATCCATTGTTCCTCCCATCACTCTATCTATCTTTCCATCATCCATCAATCTATATATCTATCCTTTCATAATTCTATCCATTGTTCCTCCCATCACTCTATCTATCTTTCCATCATCCATCAATCTATATATCTATCCTTTCATCATTCTATCTATCCATCATTCCTCCCATCATTCTATCCCTTTCATTCCATCATTCCTCCCATCATCCTATCTATCATTCCATCATCTATCGATCTATATATCTATCCTTTCATCATTCTATCTATCCATTGTTCATCCCATCACTCTATCTATCTTTCCATCATCCACCAATCTATATATCTATCCTTTCATCATTCTATCTATCCATCATTCCTCCCATCATTCTATCCCTTTCATTCCATCATTCCTCCCATCATCCTATCTATCATTCCATCATCTATCGATCTATATATCTATCCTTTCATCATTCTATCTATCCATTGTTCCTCCCATCACTCTATCTATCTTTCCATCATCCATCAATCTATATATCTATCCTTTCATCATTCTATCTATCCATCATTATATCCCTTTCATTCCATCATTCCTCGCATCATCCTATCTATCATTCCATCATCTATCAATCTATATATCTATCCTTCCTTCATTCTATCCTTTCATCGTTTTATATATTGTACCATCTATATATCCTTCCATCATTCATTCTATCATTCCATTGTTCTATCTATCCATCCATCCATCTATCCATCCATCTCACACACATATGAAGGTTGATGTCAGTTTCTCTCCTTCCCTCAGAAACTCCCTCCTCATATCCCGTCCAGTATTCCCTTCCTGGGTCACGCGGTGGCGTTCGGCCGGAGCCCGATCGAGTTCCTGGAGGCGGCGTACGAGCAGGTGAGCGTGGACACTGGAGACTCGTGTGGAGGAGCACAGGCTGATCTGATCTGACCTGATGTTGTTGTGTCTCAGTACGGGCCCGTGGTCAGCTTCACTATGGTGGGGAAGACCTTCACGTATCTCCTGGGGAGCGACGCGGCCGCGCTCATGTTCAACAGCAAGAACGAGGACCTGAACGCCGAGGACGTGTACGCGCGCCTCACCACGCCTGTGTTCGGCAAGGGCGTCGCGTACGACGTGCCCAATGCGGTAAGATCCCGCAGACATGGAATACCAGAGCTAGAAATGACTTTTTGTTGTGGGTACAATCTCAATGAAATATTTTCAAAAACTTACTGTAAAAATTGTCGAGATTTTAACGGTAAAAGAAAAACTGTTAATAGGCTCACAGAACGTTACGGTGAATAACTGTGATGTACATTTAATGTAATTTTACAGTATAATGCAGTTAAATTTACAGTGTTTGGAAGTGCAAAAGAACAACTCATTTTATGATTTACAGTGAATTGACATTTCCTGCGTTACATTTCACATTCGATGAATTTTTGTTGAAATAACTGTTTGTTTAATCAGTTATGTACATTTATTGTTGTTAAATTAATGTTTATTGCATTTTTAAAATTTCATGTGTGTCACCATGATGGTGATTAGTGTGTGTGAATGACTCTCTGCAGCTTCTGTTCATTGTTATTAATTTATTTCTGGAAAAGTTGCTTATGTGGATCTTTGATTGGTCATGTGACTCTTCTCCACTGTGATTGGTGGTATCAGTGTATCACAATAGTACTTAACAGTTATTAAACACTTCCGTGGATCAGTAAATTCGTCATTATCTGATATAAACATAACATAAACATAAAATGTTGCTACCGTATTTTTTACAGTAAATTTCTGGCAACCGCAGTTGTCATTTTTTACTGTAAATTTAACAGATTTTTTTTACAACCCTGAAGTTGTTTGAGCTCCAAACGGCTGCATTTCTCGGTCCTTCATCGTTGATGTGCTTTGTGTTTGTTCACTCAGTTATTTTTGGAGCAGAAGAAGATGCTGAAGACCGGACTGAACATCGCACAGTTCAAACAACACATCGAAGTAATCGAAGAAGAAACCAAAGATTATTTCAAACGATGGGGAGACAGTGGGGTGAAAAGTATGGAGACAGTTTCTTTTCCTTTACAATATCACACACTGATGAATCTTTCACAATAAGACCAGGAACATCTATTAAACCACACCTATTCTGCTCTTCTCCATCAGTGTTGAGTGTGTGATGTTGCATTCCAGTTCTCCTCTATATGAGTGTCAGTGTTTCTGAACTCCTGAAACGCCTCCACTGTAGTCTTGAGTTTCCTCTGGGAACAAACGCGTCACAATATTCCTCATTATAATAATTCATGCGCAGAATAAAGGGGCGGGGCCTGGTTGAGTTAGTTAGTAGTGTGTTAAACTGGCGGTTATGGTAAGGGGCGGGACTTTCCCAAACACTCGAAGCACTCGACCAATCACAACACACTCATCCAGCCGACCAATCAGAGCACAGTGTTCTTTTCAAGAGGAGGGGCTTCATAAGTAAACAGAGCGTTACTGACAGACTGGGAAGAGAGGAGCCGCAACAATGGAGAATATGAGGAGAATAATCAACATTCAAGCAGGAAAACTTTGTAAAAGAGCAGAATAGGTCCTCTTTAAGAACAATACACACCTGAACAGGAATAGCAGACGGTATTTATAGTGTTCAACGCTCTCTCTTCAGATCTGTTCGAGGCGTTATCCGAGCTGATCATCCTGACGGCCAGTCGCTGTCTTCAC